TGTCCTACCCCATTTAGAATACTGCTCCCAAATTTGAAATCCAAGTCGGTTTAAGGACATCGAAAGGGTTCAGCATGTTGCTACTAGGTTAGTTTTCTCTCGGATCTATGGCTTTGGTTCTGGTATTATGCCCAATCACGCCGAACGATCGAAACTTTTCAACCTGGAAAGTTTGCATTACAGAAGAATTCGGATCTCGTATACGCTTTTCGTGTATTACGTGGTGAATTGATTGTTAGCCCAAGTAGGCTCTGGATCTTCAAGCCTTGTAGCGACAGAGGGAGTGGTTTTGTTCTGCATTATCCCAAAATCCAGAGCAAAAACTACTCTCTCCTTTTCAACTTCTTCCCATACGAGTCGCTCGGTGGTTCCAACTGCTGCCTATCAAAGTGATGAAGTTGAGAATAGTCAGGTCTTTAAGGCTAGGCTGAAGCGGATTGGTTTACGTCGGGTTTTGGCTGTTGACGACCACTTTGAGCTTTTCTTTTCAGATATTGTTTTGAACACAGATTCTACTTATTACTTGGTTTCCTCCTATGATGGGCAGAGTAGAATCGCGTGCTTTCCTGTTCACAACAATGGAAGTGTTGGAGTGGTCCATGAATGCCTTCCGATGTCCTCTTGCTTGGCGCTGGAATGTCGAATCGGTCTGCAACTTCCTTGACGCCTGCGATGCGGAGGCCGCGTTACCTCTCGTACAAAAGGCGTCGCGTTTGCCATAGTCAGCACGTGTTGCTCCGGAGTTTTAGTGTATCCTCCGATGTTGCTGTGAGGGTTTCTGTTTCCGATGCTCGCTGATTTTTGCTCACGCTATTATTTGTGCTGGATTTTCTCCCTTTCATATTGCATTTGCGGATCGCGTGTTGTTGCCAGTAGCTATTAGGTTTCTTGTTAGTTGTGGTATAGTCTTGTCTTGAATTGCTGTGACTCCTGTTACGTGATTGGGAGCCATGTTTCAGGAGGCAGTCGATAGTTTACTGAATCTATTTTCATTCATGATCCTTCTATGCCGTGCTGAGCAATATAATGTGGATGGGGTTACATTGAATGTTGCAGCTTCTCCTTCGTTCAACAGCCTGTATTTCTCCTCCTAAGTGCCTGCCTTGCCATTCCACTTGGGCGGCCGGTATACCCGTGTGTCGGAGTTTGACAAGTCCCTATGACCCCGTAGTGGCGAAGCGCATCATAGCCGGCTGATGCTGGTGCTTGCTAGGAGACACTGCGTTGCTTTTCAAGGCTAGCTCGTCTATCTCTTCGTTTCGCCTCTTAATATCTATTATTGAGTTGTTATTTCTCCACTCTCATGTCTTGTTTCCACTTATACTGATACTGCCTCCTGCTCATGTTGCCTCTCACGCAATACTGGGACCCTCTGTGTAATGCTGGCGTTCTGTTGTTGCAGTACCGCTGCCCGCTTACTCGCTTTAAATACCTATTTCAAGATTCATTTTGGGCTTCCCTAACTATATCCAAATCGATTTCTGAGTTGATCTTGCAGTTAATTGGATTTGTTCTTTTTTGTTTTTTTCTCAGTTTCTTTTCATACCTTGCCCCTCTTCCTTTCCCGACCTGGTTTTCGGTAATTATATACGCCCATGTTTTGGGTTGGCATGTCGTTTTGACGTATGGAAATAAATAAATTGATAAACAGATATAATAGCACGATGCCGGTACAGATCGAAATTAGTTTTGTAGTACCCACTTCACTCCACATACTCACTTCACTCTGCAGTACTCACTCTATCTACCTACCCACCAAGGTACTGCCTCACATATGAGAAGGGAGTGTAGAATAGAGCAGGACTTCCTAATCGCTATCTTCATCGCAATCATGAGATTGCGGACGGACAGACCAATACACCGACAAACTTACAAACCGACACACCGAGATTTTTCTAATAAATGAGAGAGATAGTTCGTAGAAAGCTTTCTCCATCACTATCTTTATCATAACCATGGATTTCGCGGACGGACAGATATATAGACCGACAGACCAACAAACCGACTATCGACATGCCAAGATGTCAATGAATCAAGTTGCGCTGCTTACATAAATGACTTAGGATCACTGCATGGATTTCAAGTCCTCCTATGGCAGTATAGTTCTCACTGTCGCAAAACCCTTTACGATAAGACAATCAGAGTGCCGCTGTTCAAGTACCTTGTGATTCTCTGTAAGTTTCTTGATTATTTTTTTCCAACCCTCCTCAGCATAATTTTGCCGATAGAAACCATGTCGATCTCCATTCACCACCAAAATCGTTTCTTCAGTATTTGCCGAGATATGAAGCGGCTTGTCTGGAAGAAATGACTCTATGTACATAACAACGGTAGGACAATGTAATTTGTTCGAAAGTTAAAAATTGTGACTAGATGGAATACATTTTTGAAAGCATCATTCCAAGTTTATGTATATGCAAAGGTGATGCTCAAAACCTAAACGCACTTGGCGGATGTGTTATGTCATGGGAACCGTACCAGGCTACGGCAGGGAGATTCGCCTCACAACAATTTCTTAATCGGTAGTAAGAAATTACTTCCTGTAAAACAAGTCAAGCTGTGCTGTATCAAGTAAACTGAAAGTTCGTTGTTCTCACCGTACTAATCACTTCATTATCACCTCTATATTATAGAGTTCCCTCTACTTGAACTTTTCTCTAAAGCTCAAATGACCTTTCTCCTTCAACTCTTTGAAGCTTTTCGACTTGTTTCGGATTATTTCAGTGACGTGCGGTCTTTTTTCCAACAATTAACACAAGAATATCCTGCCGTGAATATAATATTGTCCATTTCCCAACCCATCTCACAAGCAGGCAAGGCACCATATTTGAAATAGCGAATGATAATCTCTCATTTATTTTGATGGCACCACAGAACTTCCCTACTATTTTTTTTNAAGGATCACTGCATGGATTTCAAGTCCTCCTATGGCAGTNAACTCTTTGAAGCTTTTCGACTTGTTTCGGATTATTTCAGTGACGTGCGGTCTTTTTTCCAACAATTAACACAAGAATATCCTGCCGTGAATATAATATTGTCCATTTCCCAACCCATCTCACAAGCAGGCAAGGCACCATATTTGAAATAGCGAATGATAATCTCTCATTTATTTTGATGGCACCACAGAACTTCCCTACTATTTTTTTTTATTGACTTCAAACCACAGACTAAATTAAAGTCTGATGAACTAATGCCTGATCTGCAGGACGGCCCGTACAAGGGACGGTGGATGCCTCAGATTCTCCCCTCAAGTGGAAACCATCCGGCTTTTGCCAGGGAAGAAGACCAAGCCGAAAAGGGAAGACAGCAGTTTTCGCTCAGGCAAGTAAAGGTTAAGAAATTGGAGTCAGTGAAGCGTAAAAACAAGAGTAAACAAATAAATCAAGAAGACAAACCGGACGAACTAAAGATGACCCGTTTTGCCTCTTACTAGACGAACAACCGTTTCCCGTTCCCATGAAGCCCAACTTTGGTTTGGGGTCAGTGGAAGAAGGATCATCAGCGCACGGTCAGTGATTTAAATCCAGAAAAGATGCCGGCCAGGCCAACCAAGCCTTCCATCCCTCCGAGGTCGGTTAAATGGTAACAGACTCGTCTGGGAGGATAAATACACAGACTTGTACATCGGCTGACTCTCGCAAGTCATTGTATAGGCCACATATGCACTCATTACGCCACTACGATTCTGAATGGAAGTCGTGTGCGGGGGCGCATTCCTTAGACGGGATTGATTAAGTCGATCGGAGTTAATTAAATGNTTTTGTCACACTTATTTCACACACGCTCTGCCCCCTGATTCTCCACCTACCATAAGTGTTCCCGCCTTACTTCCGTACCCTCCTATCTGAATTTTGAACGCTCTAGGTTTACGGTAACAGCGGGTATAAATTTCCGATCAAACATACACATACACACACACTTAATGTGTGTAATTGTGTAAATAGTGTGTAAATAGTGTGTAATGCTCGACCCCAGATAGTGGGCAATTCTCGAGCAGTTGTTCAAACTGCTATTATGAGCACGGTTAATAAATCTAAATTGGAGAGAAGTTTGGAAGTGCATGAGTAATGGGAAGACCTGCCTCCGCAGTTGAACTAAGCTTATTACGAACACAAAGAGATTTGCCTACAACTTCTCTATTGCTTTGACCTCGGCATAGTGTTTATGATTGAAATAGTTTTCTGGCGCTCGAAGTTGCTAAGTGTAACTATTTAACAGGACAACGGCCTAACATCTCGACGTTCCTGTCTTCTTCAGAGACCTTAAGCGGATGTAAAATCCACTGTCGCCACAGGCGGCTGTCAGTAGCGAAAAAAGCGAAAAAATGTAGCTGTCAGATTGCTATTGACAGTCGCCTGTGGCGACAGGACAGCGCGGAAGCTTGGTCTCTGAAGACGACGAGAACGTCGAAACTTGTACGATGACTTAATAAATTGTTCTACCTAACAACCTAGCGCATTACAGACTACATCAATCATAAACAACTATGCCGAGGTTAAAGCAAGAGAGAAGTTGGAGACAAATTTCTTTACCAATCATTTGCTGAATTCAATAAATCCCACAATCTGGGATCTATTTAAAATCCTTTGAAAATTACCTTTACTCAGCCAAGTGAACTTCACTGGTTGGTCATCAAGTTGGTACCATATAGGAATATCCCACTGAATCCTAAAAGTGTGAGCTCGGCATGATGAACCTGGTTAACAAACATGTTAAAATTGTTACCCATGCGCTGAAGAATCATCCTTCGAGAGTTTTCTATCCATGACTTTGTTCATCGGGTATTGAGTAATTTCAAAAGTAGAGGAGTTGAGAACATCCACTGTCACAAGTGGGAACCCTCCCTAAATAAAACCGAAACAAACAATTTCATAGATTACCAGGTTATGTAATCGTATTATAGGATTCTATATGCTCATATCTATCACTAACGACGCCAATGAGACCCTGTCGTGGCTTTCGGCTGATTCGACTCGAAGGGGCTCCCTCTTTAGAGCCCTGAGCCTGCCCTGACGTGTTCAGCATACAACGAGGACCTACGCTGCCGAAGACGTCCGTAATTCAACTGATCGGCCTTGTGATATTCTTGCGCAGCAATATTCGAAAAATGTTTCTGTTCACATGAAATGCCTTACTCAAGACCAAAAGGATGACAAAGCAGGGAAAAGGAAATATTTCACAGTCTTTGACTTGTCGGCGTTATTGCAGCAATAGCAGTGGGCACGTTTACTTGTGGATATTGTATAAGAGTCGCACCACAGCTTCACCGCAGTCATCCTATGCCCATTCAAGCGCCTTTGCCGTTCTATAAGACGCTAGAAAAAAAATGAAGTGTTTAATGACGACTAATTGTAAGTTGTATTCTGTAAACACTACATGTGAATGATAGTGTATTGAAGGATTATTAGGTTAGTGCATAATTATTGCGGATTTTTTTCAACAAATTTCAATCAATTCAATTTTCCTTGGGAGAAGAAGTTTCAATGCTTGGGGGCGATACACGCCTTGACATAGGCCACCACAGCATCCACTTCGTCGTAAGTTCTGTTTGCAAGCCAATTTTTCAGCGAATGGTTGAAGTGATGGTTTATGGGAGCTCCTGTCTGTGGATAAGACGGATTCAGAAGCAAATCCCATTTTCCACTTGGCTTGGATGACATTTCAATCGCCGAGAAGTTGTTGAGATCACGAAGTGGCTGTGTCTTCCAACCTTTCTCGAATCAATAAAGCGTGATGTGGGGAATATGACGATGACTTTCATGACACATTTTTGGTAAGGAAAGCGAGAAGGCTATTTCTGAAGAAATCCGGAATCTAATATTCGAATTGTATCGATTGAAAAGTCGCGAAAAATCCGCAATATTTATGCATCGGCGGCCCATTCAAAGACAACATCCCTCTGCCTTTGTTGAACCGACAGACGTTTATCGCCAACTGGTACAATATCTATCCTACTTTTATAATTGGCTAAGTGTGTCTGTTGATGTGTTTATATATTATATATAATATATATATGTGTGTGCATGTGACCGCAAACTCATAACTCCTGTCTTACTAGATCTCGAGCATTCAAATTTGGTAGGAGTACTCTCGGCAGGATTGGAACACTCGTGGAGGGTAAAAGGAGCGGACTCCGCCTAAAATGGACGTGGCTCAAGCGGAGTTAACGATTGAATGGAATTTCATAACTCGTGTTCCGGTCTGGTATCTTCTCCCCGAACGGCGTGTCGCGCTCGCCGCACTTGATCGCGTGCTACAAAGGGGAGGAGTTGAACTCTCAATGGAAGGAAATGGTAGTCGTCGCGGAACCACTGTCACCAGTCGTGGAAGTTTAGGGGAAGTTCCGTCATCCCTCGTGTCCAAGCGGACCTAGAGCGTTCAAATTTGGAAGAAGTACGGGAGATAGGATGGGAACACATGCGGTCGTTGGCAAGACCGGACTGCGCCAATAGAAGCGGTGTCGCGAACACGGTCAATATGGCCCTAGGGCGTCCAAACTTCATTGGTGTACAGGCGGCAGTATGGAAATACTCATCCACCCGCATGTTGGGTGGCAGGACCAGACTGCACCGGTGGGGGCGCAGCGTGCGTAAAATGAGCGTGATCTCTGTGAGCTTGCGCTGTCGAATTGGAAAGAAGAGAGGAATGAGCCGGTCTACTCGGGGGTGAATGTGTGCGCGTGTGAAGCAGGGAATTTCTACCTACTGTTCTACTGTACCAGAGCGTCCAAATTTGGAGGAAACCTAGGTGATAGGCCATTTCCACTTAAAAGGAGAAGCCAACCGGATGATCCGACCGGTACGAACATAATTGCAGAGACACAGTAGCTTGAGACTTGACAACCCACTGCATTCGCGATTATGTTCACCCTTGCAGCCCTCGAAAAGTCCGTCGAAATCGTATCAGCTCTATTCGACGACCACATTTGGACAGACAACACTATTGCTCGACTCCTTGACCTTAGTGAAGACCGTCGTTGTCGCCGACGTCGCCACGAGTGAACGTCTCGGAGATGTCCAGTGATAATGCGTAGCGACAGTCTGCTATCGCTCTAGGGAAAGCGGAGGACGACCTTGGGTGAAAGGACACAGAGTTCACCTAAATCTTCATGGCTGGAAGACACCTATGGCCAGGAAACTGGCCAAAACACTTTCTCGAAGAAATAGGCAAACAAACGTTCGTGCCATTCTAACAAGATTGGTTTGTCCCATAGGTGTGAAATGGGTAACGGAACTTCTCCCCGATTGCGGCATTCTCCCTTGCGGCATGCGGCAAATGTCACTGCAATTACCGTACTCACCGCGCCTCCCCGCTAATCAATAGGACGCAATATTTTCATTGATTGCCTATCTTTTTTACTAGATTTGATCTTTTTTTGTTTCTTTTTAGTTTTTATGATTATTAGACTTGATTAATTAGAATGATTTTGCCTATATTAGCGGCGATCAAGGCCGCATTAGAATTGAAGAGAACAGCCAGCCAATTCAAATAATTAAAGGACTCCTTACCAAGTTGCGCGTTCCAGTCTTCCATCGCAATCCTGTGCGACGAAAGATTGGAGCGTGCACGACGCCATTTCGAGGAGAAGATTCCGGACCCGTGTGAAATATATGTTATTCGTTGCCAGTGTGATTCGTCGTGGTAGTGTGGTCGTCCTTTCAAAGAGAGGATGTTGTCGTAGCCCGTCGTCGGAGTAAACCGCACTACGAGAACCACAAGGACCTCACGAGCCCATCGGATATGTAGACACCGTGACAACGTGGCAGGATGTCGGAGCATTAAGCGGACCTATATCCTATCCCTCCCACAAAACACGTAGTGCCTTTGCCTCAAGTCAGTCAATACGTAGTGATTGCTGCCAACCCTACTAGGTCTATGGCCGTTCTCCGTGTGAATTTTCTCGGACAATACTTCTTCTGAATAAAATGAAAAGGCCAATGTCAACCAAATGTCCATTTTTCACAACTTGTCGTCAACAGAACCATTTGTAATGTAGTCCACTACAGATCTGTTTATCTGATCAAATCGCAGCAGACCAGAGAACTAAAAACGGTGAAAAAAAGTGACAGCGATTAGTCTCAGGATTCTGCTCGTTGCAGTGCGGCTAAAGTTAAAATACTCTTGATGGCTGCTTTCATAGTCCGCCAGCGAACCGGCGTGCCAGCCAAGGTAGTGCTAGGGGGAAGGAGGGAGGCAGACGGTCAGTCGACGCGGTCGCTTCGACCTCAAGCTCCTTCGAAGGGCTGAAAACAAGGAAAAACAAGATCAAAACTATTTGCATAAGCCCCTGGTTGATTGGTTTTTGATCTTGTGTCACTTTGTTTTCAGCGCTTTGAAGGGGCTTAGGCGCGACGCGACCACGTCGACCGTCCGCCTGGCTCCCTCCTCCCCCCTAGCGCTACCTCGGCTGGCACGCCGGCACGCCGGCACGCCGGCGGATTATGAAAGCAGCCACTGCCAGACACTTTTGTGAGAGTCAAATATAAATCCGATGTGTATATTTTGAATAGTTCTATTTTTCTACATGATCGAGATGGAAATGGAGTGAGTAGTAGGTACTAATGCTATTGAATAGTGCATAATTACAGGGATTCATCCCATAATCTAATCTCTGAAGCAGTTTTCCTTTTCTCCATTACCGAACCTTTCAGATCTGATAAGGAAGTCTAGCCTAACCTGTCTTGTCCACGGAGAGGCAAATGCTGTGAGATTCAATGGATTTCCATCAGGACCTTTAGCCTTGAAGTTAGTGCTTTCCAGGGACTCCCATAAATCAGTCGAACGAGTGTTGCCATAGGAAAATTTAGTGAGATAATGCTGAAAACAACAATCAAAAAAGAAAAAGTTGATAGGCAAAGGTACCTATGACATTTACAATGAGGGAAATTGTACGGTACCCATCAATTCTAAATTGGTGAGAAGAGACCAGTTTCTAGACTAATCATTTTTCCTGTGAAAAATTCTATTGAGCTCGCTCGAAGAAAACCGTTGACCCCCCTTTCTTTCAATTTTCTGTCTTATACTCAGTGAAAGTTCTTGGAAAAACTGTCTCCGACGAGTTGTTCTGAATAAGTTAGCTGATAAGGAGGGATTTGAACGTAGGCGATGTAGTGGCAGATAAGCACACAAGCATGGTCACTAGATAAAATCTCAGATCGATATCCGCTTAGGCTGACCAAGCCTTCCGTCCCTCCAGGGTCAATAAATTGGAACCTGTATGGGAGGATAGAAGCACAGACCAGTACATCGGCTGGCTACCGCAATTCGTTGTATAGGCCACATACGCATTCAATACGCCATGACGATTTTAAATGGAAGTCGGATATTCCCAGGGACCTTTCCTTTTTATACTTCGATAAATGTCTTGCTTTCGCTATGTTCACGTCTTGAACGAGATTGTCTTTATGATTGGAAGAACCATCCACCCAGTCGCAAAAGTCGGAATGTACTTTCTGCAAGTTTTTGAGTGCGTACTTGAGCAAAAAGTTGAGGCGACTGGCTTTTTTAAAGAGCAGGAAAGTATCCTTCAGTTTTACCATATCGATCTATCACTTATAAAACATCCTCTGTGTCTTTTTGTTTGATTCCTTCGAATCGTTTCGCTGATTTATTCGTTGACATTTCCAATAAACCCCACAAATTTCTGTTTACTGCAATGCATGCGGAACTATTTGTCGATTCTCCTCTAGGCCTGTGGAGCCTTCACTGGAAAACAGCTAAGGTGCGGGTTTAAAGCTAGATACGTTAGCATAAGGTGTTCCAGAATGTTCCAGATATGAAATGAATCAATTAGGCTTCGCACACTGACGCGTGTGCTACATCAAAGCATGCTTCCGATAGAATAATAAATTTTTTTCTAGATTGCCTATCCTCATGAATTCGACTCAGAGGTTGAATTGAAAACGGATCATGAGAACATGTGGAAAGGACAGCTCGTTTAGGCGCGCTTCGCCCACAGCGAGTGTGGATTTTTCGATTCCATTGTTGACTGATTCTCTCTTTTAAGAATTCCCTCAGTGTCTGAGCTTTTCTACAACCAGATAGAAAGTTCTGCTCTCTATTTAACCCATTCCGATTCTTCTATCTCCACTTGTCTTCTATTGCCACTTCCGCGTGCTCACGCGTGCTTCGGCGTTACTTATTTATGATAATCGACTAAATGATTTCTGAAATGGTAGGTAACAATCATGATTCCAAAACTTTTTTGTACAAAAATATGAATGTTTGATTATGGCTCAACTCACATCGGGATCAATACGCCCACTGCAAAAGATTCAACAGCGTTCCTTTAATAACTTCCAAGCACCTTTTTCCAAACGTTAGAGGTCTTTTGAACCGAGTTGTGGATGTATGATCGTAGCATCACCCATATTCAGACTAACCCTTTCTCTCACAACAATCCTCGACTACTTTTTCCAGATTCTAGAACGTTTTTAAATAATGGGACATTTTTTTCAGATGCACCTCCCATATGAGAGCATGCATTGCCAATTCCAATTATTTTTTCTGGCCCTCAGGCTTTGTTGGAAATGAGTTATGAATTTTGTGAAAAAGAGGTCACTTTGAGGAAGCTCCGTCTATCTCGCATGGCTCCCACTCATCTATCTAATTTGTTGACGCATTCCTGATGTTTGCTCATTTCTCGACGATTTTCAAACCTATCAAAAACCGCAAAAGAATCTGCTCCGTGGCAACTCCACTTTCGATGCATGTTCCGCCCCTGTAGGCGGATTCCAATGCGTTCGTATTCTGTTCATTGTTCAAGTTTGTGTTTTTCGTGTGCTGACGCCACGACTTCCGATTGATTGGAGGTTGGGTTTGAAGCCAACTATTGTCAACTCTTCCTTGAGGTATGAAGAAACGTTGCTCAAGACGTTCCATAAGCCGTTACGGGTACGTCGGAGCCGAGGCCGATCTTACGGACACTGTCTTAGCTGATGCGTAAGGCATGGCAGTGTCATCTAAGCTGTCCTTCAAGGGTTCTGCAGCAACAGCATAGCATACTACCAAACGCTTCTCATCATTGCCAATATGGTCCAAGCGCGTGAACTCGGCTGCTTGGGGTAGTATTTTCGTGTCCATTACTCTAAGCCGTGCTTCATTTTCTTTTTAGCAGGAAAGCCTTTTGCACAGTAAGCCACCGTTGGTGGTCAAACGGTTCTGGTACAGTCCGATATGACTTTTCATCCATGTCACCCACAGTCGTCAAAAATTCCAAAGTTGTGAGGCAAGTTCGCAACACGAAGTGCTTCAATCTTCAATTTATGACTGCGGTTTACCGCGTTTCCAGCGGAGGTGAGTTGAGGTGAAATGTCAACACACGGACATAAGATTCAATTCGAGTACCTGCGCCTTTCGGCAAAGCAACCCATTTTTTATCACTACAAATTCGTTAATCGGTACCAGAGCTGTCTAAGAGTGTTAGCAGTGGTTTCTACATCGGCTGAACCCTTTTATAGCATTAGTGAGGCATTTTTTCTTGCACTGCATTTGACTAGTAAACCTCAGAAAATCTACTTTGTAAGGGAGAAGAAGCGTTGAGGAGAACCATCTATTTTTTAAGGGAGAAGAAGCGTTGAAGGAAACTCATAAGAGACTCGGCTGTGAGCAGAACCAACCTTTATTCCTTCATTGAAATTCTTCTCGCCTATCACGTCAACGACCATGGCGATAAACGCTGCCCCTTTGAAGTACACTATAGGGAGTATCGTTCCTGCGATATCCTTCGGGCGCTCAACCTTTAACCTCAACGACCGTAGGGCAGGCCTGTCCAACATGAATGCAATTTCCATTACTTCAGTGGCGAAATGATCTTTCTGAAAGAACGTTCTCATGTTAACGTCGTCTACAAACCCACCAGTCTGGTTGTTTACCAGTTTGTTCACGCCTCTCGTTATTTCCTCCAATGAAATGTATTGCAGATATGTTGCAAAACCTTCATTCAACCATACCTCGTCCCACCACTTCATTGTTACAAGATTTCCGAACCACTGCAAATAATAAGGATGGAGAACTGGTAGGGTCACGTTGAATCTTCACAATACCACCAAGTTATGGAACAACCAGTCTCATTTTTACTGCAATTGCCTTTACCTCATTTTACTCACCCTTTTCCCAAGATCGGCTTGGCCCCCAATCAACCTTATCCCCCCGTACTGAATCTAATTCATATGACGTGAGGGTGCTCTAAGACTTCTGAGACTTCAGGAAATGACGAGCTTCGGTAGGCAAGTCGTCCAACTTTGATGAAAGACAGTCTCTGAGCTTTTTTTCCAGAATCGCGAGCTGCCATGGATAAGCGGTGAATTTCGTGAAGTAATGGCTTCAAAATGCAGCGAAAGGAGTGTCTCTCGAACTCTTAATCTTCGGATTTTTGCTAAGATGAAGGTATAGTGTGGCCAATGTGAGACCATTCGATGAAAGGGTTCTCCTTTTGCAAGAACTGCTCACTATTCAGGGCATACAACCCCAGTCAAATAGGAATGGAGGGAATATATCGTAGGTCAAAGGGTTTGCGCCTTGGGCCGTGCCGGATCGCAAAACGAATGACACTGTGATTTTGAGTGCCACTGATTGTTGTTAGAACTCTTCAATGTTAGCTGACTGAGTGGTCTGCATGGATTGAATGAAGCGATTCACAACTATGCCTGACGTGATCTTTTTTTAAAATCAAGGAAATGTTATATGCCCTTCACAATTTTGTCGGAGCTCTCAACCTTCTAAAATATCTCAAAAAATGCACACAAAACGGTATCCTCAAAGAGGGACAAAACCTACTTGTTTCTCTGGTGCACCATGCTCTTAACCCCTTACACTTCTGAAGCTCAGCCAGCCCAGCTTGCCCTCAGCGTTTTGATAATGACTTTACACAGAGATATACAAAATCTAAGGGTGTGAGAGCATTGATCGTCTAAGGGAATGGCGGGGGAAAATAGGATTTAGTTAGATTTCAAAGTTGCAGATATAAAGAACACGTAAACGATATGCCCAAACTGATGAGTTCGGATCCCATCCGAGATTTTCTTCTACGCGCTATCCTTAAAGTCGTGCCGGTCGAAAGAATTAAAGGATGTTCTGACGTGGCGCGCCTTTATTCCCGCCGGGAAAGGCACCGTAAGCTACAGGGAGCCAGAGTTTGCCACGTGACAGTGGACACTAGCCCCTGAGCGACATATGCATCATCATTCGTCGCCGTCGTCAACGTCGCAGCCACCTGCCTTCCACATCTTTTGATTCGATTCGACGTCAGGATCACCGACGCAGTCTCCGATGGTTCGTAGAACGACATTATTGCCATCCTCGAGTGGTGCCGTCGCTGCGGAGTATGGAGCAAGCTGAAAACACCTGGATGAATGGTCCGCAGCAATCAAAGGACCTTGGAGCAGCACTGCCGAAAGGAAGTGGGATGGCTTGGATGGGTCCATATAAGGATTAGTCGGGATGGTACCCAGACCGTAGGTTGAGTGTTCTTATATTTGTGTGTATATATTCATACCCTTTTCTTAGCACTTTTCATATATTTGTGATTTTCCACTTATTCGTATTCAATCACGCTTTCTTCATCATACCGTAGATTATTATTGTAGATTACCATAAACAGTGTGTTTTATAATGTGTGCTGTTAATACGTAGAATGTTGGTAACGTCCGTTTATATAGCAGTTATCCTTGGCTAAAAGGGGATGGCCCACGTAGGCCATAGCTGGACCGTGCGCTCAGCGTTTGGGGGAGCTCAGCGCTGGGCTGGCAACCCCAATAGCGTACTGTGGAGGAGTAACACCCGTAAGAACTCGCAAGGGAGACTGGGGGCCTCAGGCCTACCAAGTCATGTGGCAGTTGAATACGAGCATGGCGAGCGGGCAGAATACCCCGGTCATCTAGTTCACGCCGCCGGGGACGCCGAGCAACCACCGATGCGGGTTGGCTTCGGCGGAACACCACCGACGGCGCGACACTTGAGGGACTTTCTTGTTGCTTGCTGTGGCCAAAAAAACAACATTCAACAAAAACTTGGAGCCAAACTCTAAAAATCTCAATATTCCTTCTTTTTTTCCTTTTATTCAACGTGGCATGATTATTTTTCAACTCCTACATTTACTAATAGATGTTGCGTTTCCGAACTGCACCCATAGATACATACGGTGATTCAACCTGAGTAATCAGCGATTCGGAACTTCGAGAGATCACTTCTGTCGCATCGCTTAAGTTACCGTTAAAGCGGCATGATCGCAGAAGCCATCACTTCCGTTTCCGACAGCAGATTCCATTTCAAGCCGGATTTGAAGCATGGAATTGCGTTCTAGAAATCGCACATCTTCTCTAACGAATTGGCAGCTTGGAATGGCCAACAATTTGTATGTCTTCAATCGTGTGCTAGTACAACACTAGTTGTACGTTGCAGTCAGAGTTAAAGAAATCTCCATTCGCTAGTTTATATGACCTCGGGATCAAGATAAATATCATGGAAATGCAATCAACATTCCGTGGCACTTCAAATGGAGGCCTGGGTGTCTTCAGAACTTGCCTTATTGTTAACGAATGCGGAAATCAAAACTACAAAATGAGTTTTCAAGAGAAGTTAGACCTGCAAAAAATTTGCCTGAGGATAGTGCCTATTGGGAACGTTAGTCGAAGCACTGGTATCAAAAGTCAACTCGAGGCAGTGGCAACGCTTTTGTTCTTTGAACAGAGAACACCGGTTCGTTCCCGACATAGCCGAAAAACTTAGAAAGTGTTATATCGACCCCATAAAGTAGGAAGCTTCTCTATTCGGCTAATGCTTATGCTAGTGGCACTTATTCCAAAAGGAGAGCACGTGAATTGTGTGACTGTGTCAACATTAACACGTATTCGACAAGCGTTGCTCCCATAAAGATGCCTGTGAGGAGCTCAACATTGATGAGACAGCTCGAAAATGAGGTGTGTAAAGCGGAGATGATGTTTACATACAGCACGCCAACTAGCAGCAACAAGAGAACAACAATGGAGCATATCCCAATAGCCGGAATAAGACGCTCACTAATATGAGTGCCGCAAGAGACTTCGCCAAAACGGAACAAAGCTGCTCGAGGGCATCGGCGGACAAAGAACAGACGTCGATGCACACGGTTCTCGCCTGAGGAGCGAGAAAAGTTCAACTATACCACGTTTACGCTTGCCGATGCTTCGAATGCGTTTTCCCGATACGCTTTTTTTTCAGGTAGAATTTGAGCAATCACAACTCATTTGGTAAACTCACCGTGCAGTTTCAGTTTCCACACTCATGAAAATTTCTGCGAAAGATGAAAAAATTCGAATTTATTCTTAGAATCTCAGAGTACACCCCACAGTGAAGGAACATTGCCATTGCCTTCTCCTTTGCCCTGCAAACTTCTTCCTGCACAGACACAAAAACTCTAAACTTGCAATTTTTCCCTTCCTTTTCAACGAACACCCCTCTTTCATTGGCAGTGAAGGCTCCCCTTTCGCCGGTATCCATCCACTATTTTGAAGCTTTTGTAAACGGGCTACTGAATTTTCAGAGCGACAACTTTTGAGATCACATCTAGATGAAGCACGACTCCCCATAGTAAGGGAGCCGTGCTTGAACTAAGAATGATGAGCAGCTCAAATCATTGTCGCTTTCTTTCAAAGTTTTCGTGGTCTCTGGCTGCCATCTCATCCAGCATGGTTTTTGATAGTGAGCAATGCACACCTAGAGACCGTTCCACTTACTGCCATTCGTTTTGCTTGCAAGGCTCGCAAGTACCTTACTAATACAACCCAGTTCTTCCCAGTGTTTGGTCTGTTCCGACAAAAAGAGAAAGCTGAGTGAGGCAACCGAGTTGAAAAATAATGTTTTTGACCTGTCGCAATATATCGCGCCCTTTTAGAAGAGCCGCGCCTGACTGTGTCTGGTTGCTTTCATAGTCCGCCGGCCGGCCGGCGAGCGAGCCGGCGTGCTCAAGCCCCTTCAAAGGGCTGGCAACAAAGAAAAACAAGATCAAACAGGGTTTATGCAGATGGTTCATCTTGTTTTTCTTTGTTTTTAGCCTTTTGAAGGGGACTGAGCCCTACGCGACCGCGTTGACCGACCGTTAGCCCCCCTTCCTCCCCTAGCACTACCTCGGCTGGCGCAGCGGCGGTCCGGCGGAATACGGAAGCAGCCTCTCTGGCTCTGCTTCACTTTGCAGTGCTTTCTCAAGAAGTACTGCATACCGATAGTAAGCATCCTCGATATGTGTGAAAACTTCACTGCTGCAGCTAAACTCTGGAGAACTCAAGAGACTATGGAACCAGTACAGCGCTGAAGCTCGGATAACGCTAGGCAATAACCACAACACCAAAATTCAGAATAGTTCGGCACAGCATATTTTTCTTTTCACTTTCTTTTCAGTTGTAAAAAAGATACAAAGAACCTGATGGGCAATTTCGTGTGCTACTGTCGCCGCTACCTCATACTTGGACCCAAGAGGATAAGTCAGTTCATCGTACAGGAGAGAAGCCTCCCTAGAAGCATAGTTTTTTGGACAGCTCAGGTTGTCCACCTGTCTATTAATGCAGCTCACTTGAAAGTGATTAATCCCCAATTCTCCAACGCACCGACCAAAGAAAATCCAATCATATCTGGAATTTCGAGACATTGAACATCACCAGCAGTACTTTCAGATACTGCCTATCTTACCTAGTTTCGGTAGTGGATATTTGATACCGGAGTAGTTTTCAAAAAAGTCCAAGCACTTGATACCTAAGTTTAGAGCGTACGAAGCCTTTTGAATTTCACCCGGAATTGTATAGGTTCGAATCTAAAAACCAGAAAAGATTATCATAGACCTCGAGCAGTGCCAAACACTCGAAAAACTGCGAATAATGAGAACTCCAAAAATTGTGTAACATCAGAAAACTTTTTGTAAACTTTATTTCGCCCTGAACTCTGGAACGAATGGGTCGGAGGCGAAGGAAATCAAATGCGTGGTAACAAAATGATAGTCTTAATGATATTCGTCACCAGCAGAAGGCAGTAAAAGTGTACCTCCAGAAAAATTTGCAAAATGTTGACCTGCTTGCTTAATAAGGCATACGATATGATTTGATATTGAGTTCTTTACAACTCTATTCATAGCGTACCATTTGTGTATTAATAGATAGTTATAAACAACGACCTTCACCAACCTTCACTCCTGCAGCTGTATGACTTTCGACGTAATCGAACTCGCCGATGGCAATGGTAAATAGATAACTTGACATCACTGGTGTCGTATCGAATCTAGTTGTGATCCAAGAAGTCTCCGGTCCTCTGTAAATTTCTTCCTTGTTGACAATCAAGTCTGAGTGGGTGGTCGCATTTCAATGTGTTGTACCAAGCTTTAAAAACAGGAGAATGGGAGACTACTGCTAGACAAGATAGCAGGATCACTCTTCGGATGTAATAGATCCTAGTCCGACTGTGATTGACAAGGCAGCAAAATCGAATGAAAGCGGTGGCATTAGCATCGAAAGACATACTGTAGGAAGAAGCCTGAGTGGTGCCAGACTCAACGAAGGATCTTCAGCACCTCTCATCATTACGAAAAAGTCGGAAGACGGATGGGTTTTCCACAACGCCACTTTGCATGAACTTCGGAGGACTTCAGTTCACAGATGCAAGTTAACTTGTTTTGAAGTGTGGTATAGAATACGTGTGAAGTTCCTAGAAGAAAGATTTACATCGGGTCTACACTTAGGCATGATGGGAGATCGAAGATGGTAATTCATGCCTTCTTGCAAGATGAAATGTGTCAATCTGAGAGTGACAGAGCGATGACGAGCAGAACATACAGCAACATAATGCCTTAAAATGTTGCAACGTGGGCATGACACAACAGCATGCTGACGGCTTTTGCAGCGCAACAGTGATCTCAAGATCATGTCAAGGATCGTAAAGGCAGTAATCAAGAGGCAGGGATTCGTAGTTATGAACTAGCCAAGCCAGCCACCCGACTTGAAAATAAAATACGAATGAGAAGAAGCTAGGAGACTACGCTCAAAAAGGCTGTCCTAAAATAAGGATGCGAAATTCGCTAAAGTTCGAACAGATTCAAACGCAATGCCGCTGACTATCACCTAATCATAGACACAATTACTTCTGCAGGCGTGGTCAAAAATTTTAGCGACTTTCGTGAAGCTCTTGCTCTTCGTATTTGTCAGTGATAATTGGTCCTTCACTGCACAATTACATGAACATAACCCCTGACTATGTCCCGAAGCGATGCAGAATACGATATCGTGGTCTGCATGATATACTCGAGTTTCATACAGTTTGAGTAGGCGGAGAAAAGCCACGAGTCAAGCGAATGTTTCGTAGAGAAACTTGAGCACTACAAGGTATAGACATGTGTGTAAATGTATATGTATATCATATTCATATGTATTATATCATATGTTCACGTCTTGTATTCGTATATACACCAATCCGATCGCCCGTTCTTCACTTTTACGAAATAATTAGAAAATGTGGTTAGGGGGGGGGGAGGGCATCGCTTTAACCAACATTGGGGCAGTGACAGTACCTGTGCCTAGAGATGGTTCTAGGCGGAAGAATGTAATTGTTACCAAAGCCTCAGGATTGAAGGAGTGCCGAGGTAAGGGTAGGATGATTAACTTGTGCAGAAAGTTTGGATGGGGTATAGTTGAGTATTCGGTTGACTCAGGCATTCCGTATCTCTTTCCCTCTTGAAACTTAGGTCGAAAGACTTCATATTCTAAGCTGAAAAGCGTTCCTGAGCTCAATTATGGGCTAACCTCCTCATGTGCTACCTAGCATTCAATGTTGAAAAAAAGCGGCTCAATATGCTGTTCTTGTAATAGAGTCGTAGATGGCGAGTATTGGCGATTGATAACAGTTGGTTGAAGGTGATGAGAGCTTCTGTAGGCAACGACCATTGACTCTGTTCTTGATCAAGGATTTATGGCAGCAAATGATACCTAGTATCAGAGGTTGGCCACATCTAAGAAAGCAAAAAACCACTCAATACGTTACGCGCCTCGTATTAGCAGTGGATTTTACATGCTGATGGGTGGGGAGGAAAGGGAATAGTGGTGACAACTGATAAACACCATAGGGGTGTTGGGATGATGGAACATTTTTCCCGATTCCCCACACCCGCTTTGCGGCATGCTGCGAATCTTTTTTAGCTGTCTCGCGGCCTCAAACTGCAATCACTGCACTCGTCCCGTCTAACCGCCAATCGATTGGACGCAATATTTTTCCTTGACTGTCGTTTTCGATTAATTTTGATTGTTTTTCCCTTCCTATATTAACGACGATCAAGACTGCATTAAAATTGAAGGGAGCGGCTAGCAAGTCTAAACAATTAAAGGACCCTTTATCACAAAAGGGTGCGCCCCAATATTCCTTCGCATTTCTGCGATACGCGGCGGGTGCGGCTAGCGCGATGCAGCGTTCAGGAAGAAGAAACCGGACACGGGACGTTGTGGTGCGGAAGCCACCACCGGTTTCGAATCCGGCATTATTGCTCCGATCACTGCGTCGCGCTTGGAGCACCCGCCGCGCATCGCAGAAACACCATTGTGGATTGGAGCGCGCAATCTGCGATTTAGGAATTCTTTTGATTATTTACATTTGCTAGCCACTTTCTTCATTCCTAATGCCATCTTGATCGTCGACGATAGAGGAGTCATACCGAATAATCAAGTCTAATGAACATGGCAGCAAAAAAGAAACAGAGAGATTCAATAAAAACCGATCAAAAAAGAAGGCAGTTTTCGAAAAATAAGGCGCACTGCCGAATACGGTAATTGCAGTTGTAGCCGCGAGACTACTGAAAAGATTTGCCGCGCGCCGCAAAGCAAACTTGGAAGGTCGGGGAGGTCCCGGCACCCATCGGTTTCTAGCTTGACTTGAATATTCTGCGAATATGAGGATGTGAAAATAAATGTAAAGTTTGGGCCGAAATTTTGATAACATTGACATTTCATCGACGAAAACGAATATCGAGCTGACAAAAAAAACAACATCGATAAAATGCATTCACCAATCTCTTGTGACAGAAAGTTTCTGAAAATAAGAACTGCTGCCACTCAAGCCCGAAGGCGACGGGGAAGGCGTTGGCCTCGGCACACAGCTCGGATTGACAAGCTGAACCTACTTATCCACAATAGCCCCTTTCTGCAACTCCTTTCAAGACTGTTTTAGTTCTTGTGTTGTGTGATCTAGCACATGTTTTTATTTCCAACGCCCAGGACAACTTTTATCTACATTGTAGTTGCAAAATTTAAACACCACAACACGAAAACCACATGGTACTAGTTTGAGTTGTCGATCATGGGTAGAGCAGGTCCAAGGCGCCGCGTCTGTCTGTTTGTACGGAAATTCGATAACACCTGATAAAGTACCTGCAGAGATTTAGAACCTACGGATGAGCGGTCGTGGACATACAATGCATGCATAATCATGCATAGCCAAATGAATACTCAATACTCTTCGCTCACTTCTCGCTACTAATTTCCTTTCCATTGGATAGTGCTATAGTTCCTTCTGGATGAATCACAGTAATTGACCATACGGCTTTGAAATCCGGTTCATCGAAACAGGGAACCACTCGCCGAGCATAGATTGCTTCCAGTTGAGCAACAACGCCGACTCTGAATTACGACTTCATCATTGAACCTGGTATATTAATCTAACCAAAGAATGGAATGCTTTGTAATTGATGTTTGCTTTCACACTACTTCATATACACTTGTGTAGGACGTACTACATTCTCTGCACGAATACGCCTGTATGTTTCATTACTGTCACTACCTTAATATCAATCAGTATTTGGGCCGACGAGTGGAGCTGGAAAGCATTATGATAGTACATTCTCCTTCAAAGATAAGTTCAAAAGTTATCTAATTGTCGTCTTTGGTAGAGCACCCTCCCACAGTGCACCAATTCCATTTTCAGTGCCTTAATAATCGAAACCTCTGAACCCTGAAGCAAAGTCCAGCGGAAGAAATAGGGCCGAAAAAGTTCATAGCACTAATAAATACATAAAAATCACATCATCAGAAATGTGACCTAGAGGAAAGAACACGTTTGACTGTTTTCTTTTTCCGAAGCAGTCTAAAAAATGGATGTCTATAAGCCTATGTTTTGCTGGCTGGACGTGCTTATTCATCTGTTTCACCTGTCGCCCCCTAATCACCGACTTCCTCGAGCGGGCGCCAGTAAGGTCTCCATTCGTCCCTGCCCCACGCCAGAGTGATCCACTCAATGATCCTCGTTCCAGGGACCCGAGGTCCAACATTCCTTTCCTTCAGAGTTTTCTTGAAGAAGACTGCCAAACTCGGCCAGCATTCGTTCCTCCTGCTCGATGTTCGGTATCATAAGCACGATGTCGCCTGCAAAGCGGAGGTGATGTGGGTAGCGGTTGTCGGCCTTCACCCCCAAGTCTTCCAATTCCAAATGACGAGAGCGGCACTGAAAAGTTTGGGCAAAATGGTACCGCCCTGTAGGACACTTCTTCACCTTCATATGACTTCCTTGCAGGAGGTGAAATCCTGGTCGTGGAGCTGCCGTAGAGCTCACGGAGCATCCTTATATATTGAGTAGAAACACCCTGGAAACACCCCAACACCGCCTCTGTCTCAACGTCAAAGGCTTTCTTCAAATCCATGAACGTATGACATAACGTCATTTTGTACTCTCGTGATACCTCAATGAGTCCCGTAAGGTGTAGATATGATCGATTGCACTGAATCCTCTTCGAAACCGTGCTTCCTCGCATGGCTGTCCTTCATCTGGTATTCTGACAATCCTGCTCAGGATGACGCGAGTGAAAAGCTTATATACTACAGAGAACAGGCAGATTGAGCAATAATAGCCAATATCGTCTGAATCCCCCTTTGATTCAGCAACACAGTCTTGTTAGTTTTCCACGGCGTGGACATTTTGCCAATTACTGCGAGAAGAAGCTGGCCAGGGTTCTGACTATGGCTGGTGGAAGACTCCTCAGATGTAGTGGTTTGATAGTATCGGGACCGGGCGCTTCTTCATCGACATGATGGCATGTCGTATTTCGGAAGGGAGAACCGAAGGAGCGATATATTCGTCTTGTCTAAGATGGTGGGTAGGGAGGAAAACGTGGCTGTCGAAGAGAGAAACACTTGCAGCCTTTCGCCTTGCTCATTCCACCCCCTTCCGTGAATCCCGATGTGGAGCTCTTCAGCCGTTCTTCTGGGGACAATCTTGGCATTAAAGTCAG